CCCCAGTGTGGGCGGCCGCCGTTACTTYGAGTGCCCCCCCAAATACGGCGCCTTCGTCAAACCCCAGAACGTCACGCCCGGAGACTTCCCAGAGGAGGATGACGGCCTGGACGAGGAACTCTGAGGGAAACTTCGGGACTTCCAACCCCAAATCCCAAAATCCTGGCGTTTTCCTTTTTTTGGGGGGAAAAAAACCAGCTGGGAACGTGCTGTTTTCACCCTCTTTTTTTGGGGGGAAAATGGTCCAGAATCGTGGCATTTCTGCTTTTTTTTTTTGATGGGTCCCTTCCTTTCTGGCACGTCCCCAGGGGTCCTTACCCTAAGGGACCCCAAAATTCCTCCCTGGGACCCCTAAAAAAGACCCAGGTGGGGCTCCGGAGGGGGCAGAGTTTCCAGGGCGCATTGCTTGTGCGGTCAGCCAGTCTGCATGGCCGCGCTGGCAATGCGTCCTGTGCAGGTGGAGAAGCCGGGCTTCTTCCATTGGGCCCCGCCCCTTTCCAGCTCCCCACCCCACCCCCCTCCCAAAACGGCGTTCTGAGGTGAAAATTTTGAGTTTGAGTCATTTTTTTGAGTGGTTTGTGGCAAATGATGGTGCCAATCAGCGTGCGGGATCTGATAGAGGGCTGGGGTTTTCATTCATTTTTATTCATATTTATTCACTTTTTTCTCACTTTTTAATTCACTTTATTCCCTTTTTTATTCAATTTATTAATTTTATTCACTTTTTCGTGATTTCTTAATTCACTTTCATTTTAACTTTTTAATATCACTTTGTAATCAATCACTTTTTACTCACTTTTTGTTCTCTTTATTCTCWTATTTTGGTTCCTTTTATTCTCTTTTTCATCCATTTAATTCTCTATATTCACACCTCAGTAACTTTTTGGTCCCTTTTTTTCACTTTATTCCACTTCTGCACAGTTTTTTTATGACTATGAATCACTTTTTTTTTCTTTATTCATGTTTTCCTCCTGTTTTTAATTCACTTTATTCCACTTTTGTTCATGTTTTGGTTGCTTTAATTGACATTAACTCACTTTTTTTGCACACCACGATAACACTGACGGATAGGGGAGAAGCCCCCCATGCTGGGGTGATTTTGGGGATTTTGTTGGGGTGATCTGGGGGGGTTTTGGCTCACTCCAGGGACTGCAGCATCAGGAGCTGCTTCAGCACCTTGGTCTGGCTCGTCTCGCGGATCTCCCCCGCCAGGAACATCTCATCTACCACTGTGTACACCTAGAAAACCCCAAGGTCACCCAAAAACACTTCAAACTCACCATCCACACCTGAGAAAGCCCCAAACTACCCCAAAATAACCCAGAAACCACCTAAAACTCACCATGAATTCCTGAGAAACCCCAAAATCACCCCAAACCACCAAAAAAATACTCTGCAATCACCCCAGAACCACTGTGTACACCTGGGACAGGTGAGACATACCCCAAATCACCTCAAGTCCCCCCAAATCATCTGAAACCACCTCAAAAGAAAACCCCAAAGTCACCATGTATACCTGGGACACCATAAAATACCCTAAAAATCCTCCACATTACCTTGTACTCGTAAGACAGGTGATGGACCCAAAAATCATCTTTAAAACTCCCAAACCCATTCCAAAACTGTCCCAAAGTAGCCCAAAATCACCCCAAAAATAACACAGAAACAAGGCCCCCCCAAATCAATGAAGCTCCCCTGTGTCCTGTCCCCAAACCAATGAAGGCCCCCCAAAACCCTCCAAATGAAGTCCCCCTGAAAATAAATACCCCCCCAAACCCTCCAAAATGAGTGAAAACCTCCCCAAACCAGTGACAACACTCTCAAAAACAAAGACCCCACCAGAACCCTCCCAAAAAGAGTGAAATCCTCTGGGACCCCTCCCCCAGCTCTCCAAGCCCCTTCCAAGCCCCACCTTGTAGAAGTTGAACACGAGGTCGAGCTCACAGACGTTGTGGAAATACTCATTGAGTACCTGCGGGAGTCCCAATTAACATCCCCAATTAACCCCAGGGGGGTGGGGGGGGGGGGGGGGGGGGTGTGTGTAAAATACCCCCCTGGGGGCATCTCCCACCTCCACGAAGTTGTGGATGGCCTCCAGGTAGGCCAGGTTGTTGTCAGTGACATCCACGCAGATGCAGAAGTAGAGCCCGGCGTAGCGGCGGTAAATTATCTTGAAATTGCGGAACTGGGGGAGTGGGAGGGACTAGGATGGACTGGGAGTGACTGGAAACCGCTGGGATGGACTGAGGGGCATTGCAGCCTGATGTAGCGGCGCTAAATATCTTGAAATTGTGGAACTTGGGGGAGTGAGACAGACTCGGAGGGGTCTAGGAGCAGTGCAAGGGGCTGGGAGGGATTTGGAGCCACTGGGAGGGGACTGGGATGAAAAAAAATGAGACTGGGATGGGTGTAGGGGGTGCTGGGAGGGCCTGGGATGGACTGGGAGGGACCTTGGGGGTCCCAAGGGCTCCTTTCCCACCCCCACAGGTGCCCCCAATTTTCCCCCATCTCCCCCTTCCCCATCCCCTAAAAAACCTCAGAATTCCCTCCCAAAACTCTGGCTTGGGCTGGGAATTCTTTTTGGCATGAAAAAGGCAGATTTTGGGAATTCTACCTCGACAAAATTGGTGTGTTTGGCGTCCCTGACGGTGACCACAGCGTGAACCTCCTCGATCAACTTTTGCTTCTCGTCGTCGTCGAACTGCATGTACCACTTGGCGAGGCGTGTCTTCCCGGCCCGGTTCTGGATCAGGATGAAGCGGATCTGTCCCGGAATTCCGGGTAAAAACAGGATTTTGGGGCGGTCAAAATTTGGGGGAAATCAGGAAAAATCTGTCCTCAAAAATGTGAAATTAAATCTTGTTTTTGAATTATAATTGAAAGGAATGAGAAGGTAGTGTCTTTACAAACAGACTCTGACTCTGGGGTGAGATGAGGCTGATATTGGGAGATAGAAAGACACAATAGGAAGGATTTGCATGGGAATTCTACTGATTGGCTTACCCCAGACTATGTTAATAGACTACCTGAGCAGAGACACAGAGATGTATATTAAAAAAAACCAATGTATGATAGAAGGGGGGTTTCATCAGGCGTTTCAGGGAGCCTGTAACTTTCAAGTACCTCAGCCAACGGGGAAAGAGAGAGGGAACCGCAGCCGGGAAATTGGGATAAAAGGAGGCTGCATCCTSTATAAATTCGAGAGACCCCATGAGAAATGCCCATGACCTCTCCCTTTATTCATGAATAAAGTTGCGGGACTCCTCTGTCTCCTTTTTGGACATAAACCTCTGGTGCTTGTGGATTAATTTTCCTAACATAATGAAAGGTAAGAAGGAATTTTTGACCTCCCAAAGGGGTCACCCTAGAATTTTGGGATCACAAAGTTTGGCCCCATAAAAGGAGGCCCCAAAAATCCTTTGGGGGGGGGGGGCCCATAAAGGGGCAGGAGAAGGGGGATTTTAGGGATAAATTGAAGCCCACCCCTGAAACTTCCCCCAAATCCTAAAAAGGGGGACACCCCAAGAAAGATCCTAAAATGGGAGAAATCCCCGAAATCCCCTCAAAACAGACACTAAAATGTGGGAATCGCCCCAAATCCGTCAAATCCGTCAAATTCATACCTTACAACGGAGTGACCCCCTAAAACAGCCGACGATCCCCCCAAAAGAGACCCTAAAATGGGCAAACTCAAAAAAATCCCCTCAAAACAGACCCTATAATGAAAGAGAACCCCCTAAACCACCCCAAAATTCCTCAATACACACCAGAATTCCCCAGATGCTACAGTGGGTGACCACCCCCAAATCCCCTCATGGAGACTCCACAATACTGAACCTCCCAAAATTCCCCCCATCTCCCCGCACGCCGCTCCAGGCCCGAGTTCCCCCCCTCCCCCGTCCTTCCCCCGCTCCCGAAGCCTCCCATTTCCGCTGTCTCCGCGTCCCCCCGGGTTGTCCCCTACCCTTAGGGGGTCTCACCATAGCGGTGCCGGCTCGAGGCCCGCCCCAGTTCCGATCCGGGTTCCGATCCCGATCCGGGTTCCGATCCCGATCCGGGTTCCGATCCTGATCCGGGTTCCGATGCCGCTCCCGGTTCCTTCCCGGTACCGCCCCCCACCTCACGGCCAGGCCCCGCCACTTCCCGCCTCCGCCAGGGGGCGTCCCTCGGGCCGCGACCACTGCGCCTGCGTAGACCCTTCCGTTCCCGCTCTACCTCCTTCGCGTTTCTCGCCACTCCCAAACTCCCGCCCCACCAAAAATTGCCGCCCCCCTCCCCCAAATTCCCATCGCCCCCTCCCCAGATTTCGGCCCCGAAAATGAAGGAGGGGGATCCGAGGGGAATTTGTGGTATTCCCCTCCCCAAATTCCCCGCCCCTCCAAGCTCACGCCCCGTCCACTCCGCGGTTAGCCACGCCTCCTTTCTCCGCTCCCCCTCCCAAAATTTCCGCGCCCCCCTCGAAATCCTGGTTTTCTCCCTCCCCCCTTCCCAAATTCACCGCCTCGCTCTCAAATTCTACCACACCCCTCCAGGCCACGCCCAAAACAGACCCCTCGTACTACCACGCCCACTCACGCCTTTCTCGGTCCGTCCCATTCCGTTCCCGCCTCTCCACCCGTTCCCCCACCCCAGAAATTGGCGCTTCCCCCCCAAAAATTCCCGGTGCTGTCCTGCAGAGCCCGGCCCTTGGGCCCGCCCCTTGATTTT